TAATAATAATAATAACAATATTAATAATAATAATAATAATAATAATAAGGATGATAATCATGATGGTAATAATAATAATAATGATGATGATAATAATGATGGTAATAATAATAATAATGATGATGATAATAATGATGGTAATAATAATAATAATAAAAATGGAGATGATGATAATGATGGTAATGATGATAATAATAATGATAACGATACCAATAATGATAATAATAACAGCGATAATGATAACAATAATACTAACAACAATAATAATGATGATAATAATAATGACAATAACAGCAATAATAATAATGATAATGATAATGATAATAATAATAATAGTAATAATAATAATAATAATAATAATAATAATAATATAACAACAACAACAATAATGATATAATAATGGTAATGATAATGATAGTAATGATAATGACGTTAACGATAAAGATATTAATATTCATGATAATGATAATGATAATAATGATGATAATGATAAAGAGGATAATAATAATGATAATGATAATGATATTAGTATTCATAATAATGATAATGATAATAATGATGGTAATGATAAAGATAGTAATAATGTTAATAATAATAATGATAATAATAATAATGATAATAGTAATGCTAATAATAATAATAATAACAATAGTAATAATAATAATAATAATGATAATAATAATAATGATAATAATAATAATAATGATAATAATAATAATAATAATAATAATAATAATAATATCAATGATAATAATAATGATAATGATAATAATAATAATGATAATAATAATAATGATAATAATAATAATGATAATAATAGTAATGTTAAATTTGTCAGATGGTAATAGCAAACTTTATAATGAAAATAGTTATGATATTGACGATAATTATCATAATTTCTTAATGAAAATAATAATGATATTATTAAACAATGTTATCACGATGACGAGAAAAGGGATGGGAATGACAATTGCAATCATAAAGATAACAACAATAATAAAAGACTCAGCGGCCACAAGGGCAATAAAGATAACAAGGCGCAGGAAACGGCGGCGAGCGCAGAGGAAGCGAACAGGGAAAGCGCGCGTCCGCCCGAGGCGAGCGTCGCCCGATTCCCACTGTGACGACGTTCACTCAGATTTCTGGGGAAAGTAAACGTTTGTTCTGACGAGTGAAACAGTGAGTGAAATAGGTCATAATGAAAAAAATCAAACTGCGTCGTGCCCGAGTCTCCAGCTCTTTCTATAGCTCATTATATCATTACACGACATTGCTTAACATCCGGTAATTTTCCCAGCACGATACCTTACACCGTGGATGAGAGGATCTGCTTGCTGTATTTACGGATGGAGGACAAAGAGCAGAGTCGATGAGCCGGAGAAGGGGCTGCGAGACGTGGGTCGAAGTATGTGTAAAAAGAATATGTTGCGAAGAATACGATATGATGCATGGTTTGAGGCCGGTGTCCGTTGGGGACGCGAGAGGTCAGTGTGGAAAGATTACCTGTTGAAAAGTACTACGATCACCTGGATTGAATTGCCGTTGTCCCTGGAGGTCGGAGGTGGCGTGAGGCGTAGCTCATTAGGAATCGGAGACGTGTGTATGTCTCGGAGTGAGAAAGAAAAATCCAGCTGCCAGTAAACGTCATGGAATTCATCTCCGAAGTCGTTATTCCCTCATGATTGATCGGCGATTCGTGACTCGTAGACGTAATGACCCGACTCCCCTCCGCGCCGCGCCGGGATCTCCGTCCTCTTCCATACGTATTAGCGTCCTTCCCGGTGGCTCCCATGCATTCGCAGTCCGGGCGCGGCCGCGTGCAGATGAAGCCTTCCATCACGCAGGTTGGATCTAAAATTGCATGTAAAGTGAAGGCTTCACCTTGCAGAATTCGGGGCAAGCCTCCTATTAGTACGGCGCTTTGGCTCTCTGACACCATCCAATTGCCCAATGACAACGCATCCTTATACCGGGAAAATTTTGAAGGATGTTTTGATTTGCTCTTTTTTTGAAAAACAAACAATTGTGGCCCCGGGACTGTGGCTCCTTAGAAGTCTCAAATCACGTGGAGCAGCCCTGGTCTTCCCGCTGATTGGCTGCGTCGAGGGCGTGGCGCTGGATTTCAAGTACGTCATTTCCTAAAGGGTGTGACGCAAGAGAGCTGCGTCAGTTGAAACGCTACACTTCCGGAGCAATACGTTCCACAGCTCACACCTACAAATACACACATGAAATGTACCACGTCCGGCAGTCACATGGCAGTATACGACATAAAGTCATAGTGAACACACATCAAAGTGATACTCTCTGAGTGAACGTTACACTGAGTGCACAGGAGCACGTGATATATTCGAACAACAAGATGAAGGTGAGGAAAACCAACAGTATCATTAGGAACGAGCGCTTATAAGAGATTGCAACAGATTGCTGGGAGTCCGGAGAGAGAAAAAAAAAATTAAACGATTTCTTATAATTTTCGAGAATATTTCAAGTTCATATCCATCCCCAAATTATAATATCCTAACTCGACTTCTTTTTCATCGTTCGAATGCTCAAACAATGTGCAGTCACGAGCGCAAGCCTCGCACACTCGCAAACTACATCCTTGCGATCACAGGCACAAAGAAGCGACAGCCCAGCCGCGCGCGCATCAATTACTCGCACAAACAAAGCCCGGGACAAATACGCTCTCATAAGGTACTTCCCGGTGACACAGCGTTGGCACTCCTGAGGGTGTCAAGAGCGGGGACGCAGCGTTGGCACTCCTGCAGGTGTCAAGAGCGGGGACGCGGCGTTGGCACTCCTGCGGGAGGCGAGAGGGCCGCGGCGGTGTGACAGGCGCTGCGCTCGCTCCTATTACTGTCACCGTTACTCTCACTCGCCGCTCTTATTGTCTGGCTTTCCCGTGCGCACGCCATCGCCATCTCCAAGTGCACAGCTGCCATTGCTTGTGGGTGTATGTGTGTGTTCGACGACATCTGTCTCTACGGGCGCGTGTGTATGTGTGTGTGTGCGTTAATGCGGTTGTATGCATGTGTTTGCATCCTGAAGATTCTTCTCTGAGAGGGCAGTGTCGGCGCCAACTTTCGTTCAGCCGAAGTGAGAGCCAATATCCCGCCACATGACAGGAGCGACGGCGTGACGCGGCCGAGGGAAAAAAGCAAAAATAATGGCAAAAGTTCATGAATATATATTAACCCATTCATGCACAGCCATCCCATCCCCCGTGTGTATCCACTTCCCCTTCCCCTGCGGCGGTTCATGGCTGGGGGGGTGGGGGGGGAGGCGGGGAAGGAGAGGAGGAGAGGGACATGTTTGCAACGGAAATACACAAAGAAGTAGACATACATACGTATTTATTTACACACTGATGCACGTGTGTGTGTGTGTGTCTATCTATCTATCTATCTATATCTATATCTATATCTATATATCTATATATCTATATCTATCTGTATCTGTATCTGTATCTGTATCTGTATCTGTATCTATCTATCTATCTATCTATCTATCTATCTATCTATCTATCTATCTATCTATATATATATATATATATATATATATATATATATATATATATATATATATATATATGCATGGATGTGTATGTGCTTAGAGAGAGAGAGGGATAGAGATAGAGAGAGAGAGAGAGAGAGAGAGAGAGAGAGAGAGAGAGAGAGAGAGAGAGAGAGAAAAAGAGAGAGAGAGAGAGAGAGAGAGAGAGAGAGATAGAGAGAGAGAGAGATGGACAGACAGAAAACGGACAAGCAATAAATGGATAGATAGAAAAGGCAAAAAAGTTGTTAGACAAATGAATTAAAGAGACAGGCAGACAAAAATATAATTAGGTAAACAGACAAGCAGACAGCTAAATATATCGAGAGAAGGGAGACAGGAAAGTGTAAGAGACGGATGCTCGAAAGGTAAGCTGGTAGATGAAGATAACCTGCGCAACGAGCGGAGAGGCTACGAACCCAAGATGTTTTCTACAAGGAGAAAACTAGCCCTTGGAATGAATCACAGGAGGCATATAGGAAAAGCCTTCTAGTAACCGTAACTCATTTAGGAAGTACTTGCAGCTTGCCGCGTACCAGGAACAAGGAAGGCGCGAAAGAAAACAGATAGGGAGACAATAAGGGCAAAAAAAAGGGAAAGCGAGCAGCACAGACCACATGTGAAGGACTGTTATTACAAACTGCCGAAGCGTTAAGTCACTCACGCCTTCACCTCGCGTACGTGACGGCCTGTTTGTGGTCTGGTGCACTTACACTTACTTACATACTTACTCTGATTTCGGGAACACGCAGCTAACTCCTTCATTTGCATATTTATACATACTCATATTCTGTTCCCCAATCCGTTCGCTTTTTCATTCATACTCGCAGCCTGTAAGTGATTTGCATTATTTTCGTATTATGAAGATGCTGTTTGTAGTCCTATTAAGTGCGTTTTTTGTGTAGAGTAATAGAGTATTCTTACTCTTATTAGGTGTACGTTCCATAAACTTTCTTAAATGTTTTACCTAATTTTCGTTTCTCTTTCGGCCATTGAGTGAGTTTGCATGATTCCTTTTAGACATTTTATTACGTCATTCCTGCATGCATTGGCCCAGTCGTATTGAGCATGTTCCCATGGCAACATCAGCGTCTTAATATTACGATGGTCCCAGCTGCCATTCTCGAGGCAGAGTGACCTTCACAGGACCTGCTAAACAGCCGTGCCTCTTGTGTCGTTTCTCACGCTTCACGCCCAGCAACTTCCTAACCTTACTGCTAAGAGTGGCACGGGCAGGGGTCGTCATCCCTCTGAAATTCTGAATAACGGCTGTTCGCTGTCCCGAGATCGGCATATACTTCAGCATAGAGCGCATTCTATTCTTTCAGATCAATTGTTGTCCGAAGATTTAAGTTTCTACATATACAAAAAAGACGGAGAGGAAAAGAAGAGCAAAAACGAGCATCGCCAACTCGTAACTCATGACCCGTGCTCTTTGCCCGCAG